CCACTCACAGTATTTGGTTGAGAAAGTGCTGTTGTTGCCGTCTCATTCCCTTTACCAGCCCAGTGAGTCAGCATGCATATGTTTTCCATCCCCCACCGTACTGCGTTTTCCCCCTCAGTCCTTCATTTAGGACTTATGTTGTTTTAGTCTTGTGGACACTTGCGTTCGTCCAGCGCCCTCTCAAACAAATAACTGGAGGGCTCAGAGCGAGTGTTGATATGGATGCGTTGGATTCTTGGAGCCGGCCGGTCCCATCCAGCCTGTTTGTTAGGAGGGCACGGGGCCCAGTCTGGCGGCAGACTGCGCTCGGGATGTTGGTGTCGGAGGAAAAACGGCTGGCGTGTTGACACAGCGGGGATTCTTGGCAGTAGGACAGCAAAAGAGACCATTAGGCTCAACGGCTAATTAGACCTACAGTTGAAGTCAAAATTATTCACTCTTACTGTTAATTTGATCTTCAAATAATGTTTAACAGAGCTAGGAATGTTTACAGTATTTCCTATACTATTTTTTCTTCTGGAGAAAGTCTTATTTGCTTTGTTTTGGCTAGAATGAAAGCAGTTTTCACAATTTTTGAACCCATTTTGAAGAGAAACTGGCTTTGTCTTGGTGTTGATTTTAATTTATTAACTAACATTTACTATTGAGACTTCATTGTAAAGTGTTATCTGTTGCACTTATAATACTTATGCAATTTAATTTGACTGAAACATTTGTTTACTTTGAGGTAATTAAGTAATTTTGGGGTTATTTTAAGAGTTATGCACCAACCTGTGAGATCTCTTGGCTCTATGAATCGTCTCTATTTGCAAGTTCCTGGATCACGCTTAATGTCGAGGTGATGGAGCTTTGGAAAAATCTTCCACTCTCTTTAAGAACAGCTCAAACTTTTAAGTCTTTTCAGAGGTCACTGAAAACACACTTATTTTCTTCAGCTTTTAATCATGTGATGTGAGTTGATGCATTTTGGTTTTATGTATATTTACATGCGTTTCATGTGTTTTATGCACAGCACTTTGGTAATCATTGTGGTTTGTAAAAGTGCTATACAAATAAATTGAGTTAACGTTTTGCACTTTAGCTCAGAATTGTGAGAATATGGTATATCGTGATAAAAGCTTCAGCAATTAATCGCAACAAGAAAGTTTGATACTGACTTTTTGTATGCATGATATATTAGCGACCATATCATTACTGACCAATAAATGCCATTATTAATGTTATCATTATTGGACCTAAAACAAAATGATCGATATCTAGGCCCACAAGGAATCTGCACACACAGAAATACGCAGATTTTTAGCCCATCATTGAAGTCTATGTATTTACTTGTGTAAATGTGTGTACATTTATATTTATTCAGTTTTTAAATTTACCTCACTAATATTATTGATATAATAATAGTAATAATATGGGGAAGGCAGTGGCACCGTAGGTAGTGCTGTCGCCTCACAGCAAGAAGGTCGCTGGTTAGAACCTCGGCTCAGTTGGCGTTTCTGTGCGAAGTTTGCATGTTCTCCCTGCCTTCACGTGGGTTTCCTCCGGGTGCTCCGGTTTCCCCCACAGTCCAGAGACATGCGGTACAGGTGAATTGGGTGGACTAAATTGTCCATAGTATATGAATGTGTGTGTGGATGTTTCCCAGAGATGGGTTGCGGCTGGAAGGGCAGCCACTGCGTAAAAACTTGCTGGATAAGTTGGCGGTTCATTCCGCTGTGGCGACCCCGGATTAATAAAGGGACTAAGCCGGCAAGAAAATGAATGAATGAATGAATGAATGAATAGTAATATTAAAATGTTCATATGATTTTTTACAATGCAGTTTATAAAGTAATATCTTCCGTCTCTTAGTAGAGATATTATATGATAGACTTGCTTTGTTTACCAAATAAAGGTGATCTAATTGGATTTGCATTGTAAGCATTAAAAAAAAAAGAAAATGTATTATATTTTATTTGATATATCGAGTTATTAGATATGATACTCTTAAAATCATTCCACATAAATCCGCAGATCATTTACAAACTTCTCTGCAGAAATATCAAAAAATGTCCACAGATTCTGTCTGGCCTTACCAATATGTTTAAGCTGATAATTTCTGTAATATTTCTGCTGATTGAAACACTAACTATGTTTTATTATTTTACTGGTATTTCAATTTTGATTAATGTTTAGCGAATAGTTTTCTTTCTTTTTTTTTTTTTGTCAGGCAGTGGATTTTGCTTATATAAAAAGTTGTCCATATAAAAGTATAGCTGGATAATTACGTTCAGAGATCAGTTCAAACTGTTCTAAAGGTTTTAAAACACAATCAATTTCGTCATTTTACGTGTTTATTTTTTGTCTTTGTTTGACAATTATACAGATTTCTAAAGGTGCTGTTGACTTGAAATTTCCCCCGGATGTTGGTAACAACCAAAGAAATGTATATACGTACAGAAAACAAAACTAATTTGTTTACAAATGAAGTTCTGTGTAACAAACTGAAATGACGCAGGGAGAAAGTATCGAACACATGAAGAAAGGGAGGTGTATTCTGGCAGTGAAAGCCCAGACAGCAGCTGAAATCACTCAGTAGTTCTTCAGCAACTCTCTACCCTTCCTCAGTGTAAATGAACATCAGCTGCTTCAGTCCAACATCTACATTAGCAGGAGGATGAAGATCAAACCAGGATGGACATTTCAGCAAGACAATGATCCAAAACACAGCCAAGGAGACTCTTAGATGCTTTCAGAGAAAGAAAATCAAGCTGTAGAATGGCCCAGCCAATCACCTGATCCGAATCCAATAGAAAACACAAATTAAAGATCAGATTTAATAGACGAGACCCACAGAAGCATCAAGATCTTGACACTCTGTTGAGGTTTCACACCTGAGCAATGCATAAGACTTCATTCCCCATATGAGAGTCATCTCTAAGCTGTACACTATTTAAGGGTATAGGGGACTATTTCAGAAACATTTTGAGACAATCAGTGCAAGTTGTCCTCTACATTTTGTTTTCAATCAACCCACCGACAGAACTTTAAAACACTCCTTTGAAGGCTTTCAAATGTCTTGCGGCATTTCCAAAAGTCAGATTCTACTCGCCTCCCCAAACACAATGCTAAATTATGGACGGACAGATAAATGGACGAAGGCAGAGATGAAGAAGGCAAAGGCAGAGATCTGGATGTGTTTGGACTGTGGGAAACGAGAGGCAGCCTGGTTTCAATGCAAGCCTTGTTCGTGTTCGCAGAGTGCTGGTTGGAGCAGAGGTCAAACCCACTGCCTACATAGAGGTGGGGGGAAGGTTAGCAGGGAGGAAACAAGACGGCATTCTCCACTCTCGCTCCCTTGTGACGTCCTGAGCCAACAAGAAGCCCATTCAGTCTACCACCTTGCATTGGCTTGTGTACACACCACTGCAGTGCTGCTTCTGATATTATTATAGTGCTACTGCTGTGTTTATGTTCGTTCGGGCTCTGGACGTATGCTAGTAAATTATATGCTAATATATAAGTAATAAAGGGAGTGGTAAAATGTCCTTCCCTGGCTGAGTGCTTAAAGTGGATTGAGTTATCGTTCAGATGGAGATATCTAAATGTGATTTTAACTAGCTAACTAAAGTTTTGGGACACAGTGGCAAACTATGACCTATGAGTCCTGCATTATGATACTTCTTTGATTTAAAAACTGACCTGACTGTACTTTAAACGTTAAGCCACAGTCACAATAGAGTTTGAGCATGCAAAATTCTGTCGTATATTGAGTGCTACAAAAAGGTTTGGGTTTACATTTCTGTACGCGAACGCAATATTATGCAAAGCTTGTTGCACAAGCTTAAGGCCCAGTTCCAATTCTACCCCTTAGCCCTTCCTTTCCTGTTTTGCGCATTCACGTGATAGGATAGTGGTGTCCCAATTCTCATTAGCTGAAAGGCGTAGGGTTAAGCGGAAGGGCTAGACACCCCTTGAAACAGATTTTTCAGGATCACGCTCGAAACCAAAAGGGTAAGTAAATTTTAGGGGTGTCAAAATTAATTGTTTTTTCGGTGCACCGCGATGCAGACGCAGACAATTCGGTATGGGTTCAGTAATAATCATAACCGGTTATTATGTACTGACATCATTTATCTCCTATGTGCTCTGTCGCTAGGGGGGCGTGCGCGGCTATTTACAACACTCAGCCAACTCAGGGCCGGCCCGTGGCATAAGCACCATAGGCAAATGCTAAGGGCACTGTATATCCAGGGGGGCGCCAGAAATGAGCGCGGTTCAGTTGGTTTTGTTTACGATATTCCTGACACACATTCAGTTATAGACGGCAATAACTCAAAAACCTCTTACCCTAAAAAGATCTAAAGTGTGTTTCCTACAAAAAGACAAAGCTGGTTATGTTTCACAGCTGTCTTTCTTTTTTTTTCGCTCGACATTACGAACACTGCTCCGTTTAAGCCCTCGCAATATGTGTTTAGCCGGGAGAGCTCGCGCTGAGAGGAGCTCTCAGTAAGGGACCGTCAGTTAACAGTTAGCTTGGCATTGACAATAGTCAACATGTAACCGAAATGTTTGTGTTTCTTCAGTAAATTGCTTGGCACTTCATCTCACCTGTGTCTTGGCACATTGCTAAGAGAAGTACTGAAGTGTTTGTTGCAACAAGTGCCGATTGATCCCTGAAGGTGTAGCGATCACTACCGTTTCCTTTCAAAACAGACGCAATTTACGACGAATGGCAGCTGGAAACATCTTTCTGTCGTTCCTAGTATGCTAAACAAGAGCCTGCTAGGGGTGTTAGGTGTGAATTCTCCCACCCTAGCAGGCCCAACTGGTGTTTATTTTCCTTTGGGAGAAGTAAGGGAAAAGAAGTAAACGCTGCTGCCGAGACCCATTGTTCTATAAAACGCTCTGGCGCCGCTCACCAGCAATGAAGTCTTATGGCTATTTTCTTCTTTCTGTTTGGCTTTTTGATTGTTTAAACATGCACACTCATACTTGCCTTATTTTGTTTTGTTTTTCAGTCAAATAAGGTTCCAGTGGTACAACACCCCCATCACGTTCATCCGCTCACACCGCTGATCACCTACAGCAATGAACACTTCTCTCCAGGGACGCCTCCTTCTCACCTCTCGCCGGAGATTCTTGACCCAAAGACTGGTAAGAAGCACCAAATGGAGCTTACAGGAGTGATGCGTGATTGTGGCCCCACGATTGCAGTGTTTCCCAACCCTGTTCCTGAAGGCACAACAACAGTACACATTTTAATTCATTCATTCATTTTTCCTTAGGCTTAGTCCCTTATTTATCAGGGGTCGCCCCAGCGGAATAAACCGCCAACTATATATACTGTATGTTTTATGCAACGGATGCTCTTCCAGTCACAACCAAGTACTGGAAAAAACCCATACACACACACTCATGCACTACAGCCAATTTAGTTCATCCAATTCCCCTATAGCGCATGTGTTTGGACTGTGGGGTAAACCGGAGCACCCGGAGGAAACCCACGCCAACACGGTGAGAACATGAAACTCCACACAGAAGTGTGTGTGTGTGTGTGTGTGTGTATATATATATATATATATATATATATATATATATATATATACACAGTTGAAGTCAGAATTATTAGCCCCCCTAAATTATTAGTGCCCCTGTTTATTTTTAATGGAGGGAAGATTGTTTCAGCAATCAAGACACTTCTATACAGCTTAATGTGACATTTAAAGGCTTGACTAGGTTAATTAGGTGAACTAGGCAGGTTAGGGTAATTAGGCAAGTTGTTGTAAAACGATGGTTTGTTCTGTAGACTATCGGAAAAAAAATTTGCTTAAAAGGGCTAATAATTTTGTCCCAAAAAATGTTTTTTTAAAAAATGTATAACTGTTTTTATTCTAGCCGAAATAAAACAAATAAAACTTTTTCCAGAAGAAAAAATATTATCAGACATACTGTGAAAATTTCCTTGCTCTGTTAAAAATCATTTGGGAAATATTTAAAAAAGAAGAAAAAATTCAAAAGGGGGCTAATAATTCTGACTTTAACTGTGTGTGTGTGTGTGTGTGTGTGTGTGTGTGTGTGTGTGTGTGTGTGTGTATATATAAACTATATATAAACTATATATAATTATAGATAAATAACAGTATTATTGTTATTATACAATTCTTATTCTAACAGAAATTAATCCTAAATGTAAAACAACCGAAAGACACAACAGATAATGAAGGAAATCTTTTGCATGAATATTAATTCAATAGAATACAAAAAGATGTTTATAGAATTATCTGTTGTGTGTTGTCTTAGACCCGACTCATGGCAAAGAATTACGCCCCATTCACACGGGGCTTCAGTGTCAACGCTTGACAGGGGGCGTGTCTGAAGTTGGGGCTGAAGCGATCGTCATAGCCGCGTCAGCCAATGAAATTAGTCAGCAATAGGCCACTGTCTGAGCTGGTGTATTTGCATACAGCAATCTGATTGGCTGACGCTTCCGTAGGCGCTTGAAAAGTTGAGCAAGTCCCAACTTCTGCAGTGAGCAACACCATGAAGGGGCGCCGACGGATCCACAATGCAGTTTGGCAACGCCTGACGTCACCCGTTCAAAGTGAATGGAAAGCGTTGAAGCTGACGCCCCGTGTAAATGTTCCGTTAGGTTTATTAAGTTTTACCTTTCTGACTCATCAACCCTCCCTTTTGCATCATACAAAAAATCTATCAGGAGCCTTGCTTAGTCTAATCACCATCATCTTATTTAAACTTTGTTTTGTCGACTTGCAAAGCTCACTCATTAAGATTATTTATTAAATTTGGTGACTTGGGGGCACACTAGGTAGTGCTGTCACCTCACAGCCAGAAGGTCACTGGTTTAAGCCTCATCTGGGTCAGTTGGCGTTTCTGTGTGGAGTTTGCATGTTCTCCCCGTGTTAGTGTGGGTTTGCTCCGGGTGCTCCTGTTTCCCCCACAGTACAAACACATGCGGAACAGGTGAATTGGGTAGGCTAAATTGTCTGTAGTGTATGACTGTGAATGGGTGTTATAGATGTTTCCCAGAGATGGGTTGCAGCTGGAAGTGCATCCGCTGCATAAAACATGTGCTGGATAAGTTGGCGGTTCATTCCGCTGTGGCAACCCCAGATTAATAAAGGGACTAGGCTGAAAACGAAATGAATAAATGATTTTTAAATTTTTATTACTTTTTTTTTCTCAGTGGGAAGCTGTTGAGGGAGGGAAGTGTTTATTTGGGGTGTTATGGTTGATATTCCATGTAAAAACTTAATAAAAGAAATTTTAAATAAAAACAAAATTGTAAAACTCTACTGGCAGACAGCTGCTTTTCACTCAGGGCTGTTTATGTTAACAAGGCAGAGATGATCACTATTTTTTTTATTTGTTTATTTATTTATTTATTATTATTCTATATATATATATATATATTTATATTTTTTTTACTTCAATAACAAACATACAAAATCCAATTTTACACAAAAAACACAATGATAGTAACAATGATAATAACATTTAAGATTAAATAATATAAACGCATATAAAAAAATAAAAAGAGAAACAAAAAAAAGAAAAAGTACAAGAAAAAAATTAAACAGTGATACATACACAACACAAATACAGCAAGAGGAAAGAAGGACTTTTGTATACGTGATATTTCCAAAATAATTATATGAAGATACTCAGATTTTTTTTTTTTTTAATCATAAGCTTTGAAACATTACATAAAGTAATACTACAAATTCAGATATATGCTATATCCAGGAACATTACAAGAATTACAAAAACACAACTGGAAATGATAGTAAAGCAAAAATATAACAGTTGGGGGAGAGAAAAAAACTTATATACATATAAACAAAATAATAACTTAGGATACAATCATCAACTACAGCGGGGGATCAGAACCAGAGAAAAATTCCCTCGTGAAATCTAACATTATATCACTCTTTTTGTTTTTAATTAGCATTAGAGGATTTTTCAAACTTTCCATTTGAGATGATCACTAGTGGGCGGGGCTTTCACCTTTTGATGACACGTACAAAGAGAGAATGTCAATCAAAGTGTTTCCGAAGACTCTTCAAGAGTGATCATAAAAATTAGACTGAATTAATTTTCACCATTATAGGCTGGCTATATTCACACATTGCTCCACACAACTCCCTTAAAAAGTGATTTTTGCTTAACAGGTCCTCTTTAAGAGGAAGCAATGTGGTTTTATAATCTAAATAAATAAATCGATTGTTTCTACAGGCATACCAAGGACCCCTCACCCCTCAGAGCTGTCCCCATATTACCCTCTCTCTCCTGGGGCAGTCGGACAGATCCCTCACCCTCTTGGATGGTTGGTTCCTCAGTAAGTCTGAACTACCTTGAAAAACACCTCATTTTACACCCCAGTAGATGACGGAATCAAATGTGGAGCTATTTTTAAAAGTTCTCGTAGCTAAAAGAGCATCTGCGTGTCCTTGATTTTTGCCTCAGCTGGTTTATTTGAGTGCTGTTCCTCCATCTTTATAGGCAAGGCCAGCATATGTACTCCATCCCTCCCGGAGGCTTCAGACACCCCTACCCTGCACTCGCCATGAACGCCTCCATGTCTAGGTATGTAACGGAGAGCTGGCTTCTCGTTTTTCTGCACGAATGTGATGATTTAAAGTTGAACTCGCATCTATAATTAGAGCTGAGATGCAGACAGTGCTAATCCTCCCTGAAGGGGAAGAGAAGAGGAAGCTGCTGATGTGTTTTCGCTCCATATTGGCGCCTTGGTACATTTCTCTTTCCACCCCGCGCAATGTTCCAGAGAGGAAACCTGCTTTTTCGGGTGCAGTACAATTTAGTTTATCTTGCTCCGATAAAAGTGCCACTTAGTTGATTAGACTAATGAGTAGGGATGGGCGATGTCTTATCGCTTGCACAATTCTGCCCACAATAAAAAACTAGACTTATTGCAACAATAATGATAAAGCCTACAATCTGTCTGTGCCCTGATTTATTATAGTAGCACATGTGTGAGTTTATGTGCTCGTTTACATACAGATTTACTGATAAACTTTTACTTTAAATTCACTTCATAACCTCAGTCGAGTGTTCGAAATCCCTCCTTCATGATCATATGTGATTTTTATATCCCAAAATGATGAAATCATGCTGTTTTATAATCGTCAATACAGTGCTAAAGGCTAAGTCAGTTAGCATTGCATTATAACATAGATATATACACTAGATATCGCATAGGGATATCTATAAGCATGCGTCAATAGCGCCGCCATATTGGTACAGTGCTCCCAGGACAAATGTCATTCAACCGCACTAGTCAAGACAGTGTTATTACGTTAAGATGCTAGACTTTAGCGCTGTCTACGGGTGTAGAAACGAGCAAACAAAGAAATCAAAGCACAAAGGCAGAACATTTCATAGGTAATATTAAGTTTTTTTTCTGTTTTTGTATGTTGTGAACTTTTGTGCTAATCAGGTAACGTTATTGATGATAACAGTCACTTACTGCATTCACCATAAGACAAAGCAGCTCCAACTCACACTAAACACTCGGCTTATGCTAGTTTTGTTGAATAAAATCAGCAAACAATGCCAAATAAATATGACAACGAGATGCTGCGCTGCCAGAAACTTGTATTATTGTCGGCTAACGTTAGTGAAAGAGTCGTTCGGGGGATTCATTCACAAACGAATCGCTCCCTCTATCAGTATGAGAAGTGAAAGCAGGAGAGGAGCTGTGTTTCAGGACATGATTAGATCAAATTTATCAGGGAGGGTGAATAGTACATTTCAGTACACACAAACACAAGCTTTTAGTCAGGAATGCCCGTGCGGTCACTGATCCATCAATGTAGAAAAGTGATGTAAAATTATAATTTTCGTAAATAGAAAACAAAAATGACATACTAACATCCAGGAAAACTCCCGATCACAGATATGTGTGTATATGTGTATATCTCTGGCTTTGGATGACCTCAGTCCTCCACTGTACATTGGTCCCGCATTCATTTCAAAGGAGCGCTACCCTGTAGCAAGATGGCAGTGCTATTGACGCATTCCGTCCAATAGACAACAATAGGCCAGGCGACATCTAATGTATATATCTATGGCATTATAAATACACTATTCTACCCAGAATGGCTTGAAGAACAGAAATAATCTAGATATTGGCAAAAGCGTTTGTTTATTGCGTTCATGTTTGATCTGTTTTTATAATAGATGGTGTCTTTTTATTTCGTAATCTATTTGTGTAGTTTGTGCGAGGGCGCCCTCTAGCATGCAGTATGAATGGACAGAAATAACATTACAGTGTGTGATCAACACTGTATCAGAGGTCTTGAACTCGTGACCCAATGTCCTGCAAATTTTATTCCTAATCTGCTTGTGCATTTGATATGATCAACAAAAGCTTGATTAGCTGCTTCAGTGTGTTTGATTATGTTTGAGCTCTAGAATAATGGGCGTCCTGTAATGTAATGTGTATTTACATATTGCATTTATCATGCATGGCCATACACCCAAAGCGCTTCACAATCATGAGGGCGGTCTCTACATCACCACCATTGTGCAGCATCCACAGGACCGCGGCGCCAGTGCGCTCACCACACACCAGCTATTGGTGTGTAGACAGTGATAGAGCCAATTTGGTGGATGAGGATGACTCGGAGGCCATGATGGGTAAGGCATGATGGAGAGACTTTGGCCAGAACGCCTTGGTTACACCCCTGCTCTATATAAGAAGTGCCAAGAGGTTTTTAATGACCTCGTCAGGACCTCGGTGTAACGTCTCATCCGAATGACGGCGTACACTGACAGTGTAGTGTCCCCTTCACTTTTACTGGGGCATTAGAACTCACACAGACCACAGGTTAAGCACCCCCTGCTGGCCTCACTAACACCACTTCCAACAGCAACCTAGTGTTCCCATGTGGTCTCCATACAGGTACTGACCAGGGCTCAGCCCTGCTTAGCTTCAGTGAGTAACCGGTATTGGGCTGCAGGGTGAAGACCTGAAAAAAATAAAAATAAAAACTATGAAATTAATCAATTAATATGAAAATTTATATTTTTATAACACTTTTTTGTCTCTCATTGGATACTTATGATTTATATTGTCACTAATATCATTATTGCGAAAAAATAACCAAAAATATTTGTATATTTTTATGTCCATATCGCCCATCCCTACACTCAAAAAACAGTTGGGTTAATAATAACCCAACAGGTAACCCAATGATGGGTCATTTTGGCACCTGCTGTTGGGTTATTTTAACCCAATACATTGAATTGTTAAGGTTAACCCAACTATATTAATTACAAAAAATGTGTTGAGTTATTTAGCCAAAAAGTGGCTTAACCACTACACTCAAAAAGCAGTTGGGCTAATAATAATAAATAGGTCATTTTGGCACTGACCTGCTGTTGGGTTAGTTAAACCCAATCCATTGAGTTGTTAAGGTTAACCCAACAATGAATCAAATCAAATCACTTTTATTGTCACATCATCAGCGGCACGTGTGCTATGATGAGTGAAAAGCTTAAGAAGCTCGCAACACTGCGGCCATGCTCGGCGCCATCTTAATGAGTATTATTCGGAAGTTATTTGGAAGTTAATGAGTATTATTCAAATTATTTATTAAATTACCCATTAAATTGTATTTTATTAACGCCTACCCCAACCCAAAACCCAACTCTCACAGTAATATAAAAATTTCGATCATCGTTTTACAGTGTCATGTAAATTATGCTATATTGATGTGAGCATCCACAGCTGTATCCCATTTAGACTTTGTTCTAATGGTAAGAGGGGCGTGGCTTAGAATATCACGGCTGAAACGTTAAACTGAAGTTCCGTCCACAGCTGTATCCCTTCTAAAAACAACGTTGGGTTACAAAAATAACTCATTTGTTGGGTTGTTTAGCCAAAAAGTACCTTCACCAGTATATAATATAAAATTATTATTATTATTATTATTATTGGGTTGCTGTCTCCACTTGGTCCTAAAGGCGAGAATGACAGCTGAATATCTCAAATATGTACACCATTTCCTCCAAAAAAAAAAAAAAAACAGAAATGAACACACTGGTAGAGAAAGTGTTTTTATCCGTATATAAATCTGCTATGAGGCATGTTTTTATCATAAAATTAAGGGTCACACTTTATAATGGTTCATTAGTTAATGTTAATTAATGCATTTAATAACATGAACAAACAATGAACAATACATCTACTGCATTTGTTCATGCTAGTTAACGTTAGTTAATGAAAATACAGTAGTTCATTGTTAGTTCATGTTAACTTGTGGTGCATTAATGTCAACAAGCATGGACTAGGATGTTAATAATGCATTAGTAAATGTTTAATTATGATTATTAAATGCTGTACATGTGTTGTTCATGAATAGTTCATGTTAGTAAATGCATTAACTAATGAACCTTATTGTAAAGTGTTACCACATTAAGAGTGTTGGTGAAGCGGATATAAAAATAACATGACACGGAGAGGAACTTTGATTAAAACAACAACATTACTGCATTAGAGCTTGATACTTTTTAATGCAAAAACAACATTACGCACACATATAAACACAGCTGTTCTGTGTCAGTTAAACCAGTTGACTGGTGAAATTCAACATTTTTACCCCAACTGGTTGAGTTATTAAATAAATAACCCAATAAAGGTTCAAAAATAACCCAACAAAGTATACCAAAACCAAATATTCTTAACTCAACCATTGGGTGAAATAAATAACTCAACGTTTTTAGAGTGTACTAAAGAAAAATAAGTTAAGAGACATCACTGTTGAATGTTAAGCATGGAATGTTGATATAGTGGAGCCAAGTGATCGTCTTGTTCAGACACCATACGATTTATAGAGTGAACAAATTCGATGGTATTTTCATGCTTTTTACCCGAATTTCCTTCAGCATTTGTTTGTCATTTGCATCTGATAATTGTGATATTATGCAAATGCAACATTGTCCAACTTCCAAGCAAGTAAATCCAGCCAAGCTTACATTATTGGAAGAATACCTGTATGCACAGAGACTTATTGTTGCAGAAACTCGTGCGTTTGAATTATTCCATTTTATGCCTTCATTTTCCCCCCTCTTCATATCACTAGAGATATGCTGGCCATTATGTGGAAGTAGCACTTTTCTGAAACTCCAGATGAATAGAAAGCTCTCTAATGCTGGATTTTATCAGTCTTCCCCTTCAGATAGTGTTTGAGAGAAGCTGGAGTTCGTTTCTCACATCAGCATGAGATCTCCGTGTCTTTTTAATCTCCCACTATTGCTTTTTTACCTTTATCGTGCGACTCTGCAGCTTTTGTTGGTCTGTCGCTGTAGAGGAATCTGTTTCTGCTGGCGTTGGGTTTGTGGCTCTGTGAAGTGCTGAAGTCCAGTGGAAATATGCGTTTAACAAGAGAGCGCCAATCACAGATTGGATGTTTTTTTTCATCTGGGAATGTGACAATGCCGCTATTGTATTAGCAACTGAGAGTCTGAAAGCCCACTTTTCCAGAGGCAGCTGCTAGAATAGGTGCTCTCAGTGCTATCTATCCATCCATCTATTTTAATACATCCATCCAATTCAATGCATCCATTTCAATTCATCCAATTCTATCCATCCAGTCTATCCATCTAATTTAATCTATCAAATTAAACCCATCCATCCATCCAATGCAATTATCCAATTCAAGCCATCCAATTCTATCCATCCATCCAATTTAATACAAGCATCTATTTCAATCCATCTAGTTCCATCCATCCAAGTCATCCCATCCATCCAATTCAGTCTATTCCTTTTAATTTAATCCATTCATCCATCTATCCAATTCAATTCATCTATCCAGTTCTATCCATCCGATTCAATCCATCCATCCAGTACATCCATTCAATTTAATTCAATCATCCTATTTCAATCTATCCAGTTCCATCTATCCATTTCAGTCCATCTAATCCATCTATTCATCCATCCATCCATTTCAATTCATCCATCCATTTTAATATATCAATTTAAATGCATCCAATCCAATACATCCAAATAACCAATTAAATCCATCCATTTCAATCCAGCCATCGATTTAATTAAATCCATCCATCCAATTCAATCCATCCATCTATCCAGTTCAATCCATTTAATTAAATCCATCTACCCAATTCAATCCATCTATCCATCCATTTCAATCCATCTATCCATCCATCCATCCATCCATCTATTTTAACACATCAATCCATCCAATTCAATCCAGCTATCGATTTAATTCAATCCATCCATCCATTTCAATCAATCCAGTTCAATGCATCCAATTCAATCCATCTACCTAATTCAATTCACCCATCCATTTCAATCCATCCATCCATCCAATTCAGTCCATCTATCCAGTTCAATCCATCCAATTAAATCCATCTACCCAATTCAATCCATCCATCTATTTCAATCCATCCATCCATCCATCCATCCATCTATTTTAACACATCAATCCATCCAATTCAATCCAGTCATCGATTTAATTCAATCCATCCATTCATCTATCCAGTTCAATCCATCCAATTAAATCCATCTACCCAATTTAATCCACCCATCTATTTCAATCCATCCATCCATCCATTTCAATCCATCCATCTATCCAGTTCAATCCATCCAATTAAATCCATCTACCCAATTCAATCCATCCATCTATTTCAATCCATCCATCCATCCATCCATCCATCTATTTTAACACATCAATCCACCCAATTCAATCCATCCATCCATCCATTTCAATCCATCCATCTATCCAGTTCAATCCATCCAATTAAATCCATCTACCCAATTCAATCCACCCATCTATTTCAATCCATTCATCCATCCATCCATCCATTTTAACACATCAATCCATCCAATTCAATCCAGTCATCGATTTAATTCAATCCATCCATTCATCCATCCTTTTCAATCCATCCAATTAAATCCATCTACCCAATTCAATCCATCCATCCATTTCAACACATCAATCCATCCAATTCACATCATCCATCTCCAATATGTCTGTCCATCCAATTCATCCATCCAGCATTTTATCAATCTGTCTGTCTGTTAGATCTATCTATGTCTGTCCATCTATCACTGAAATTGACAACTCTATCGATTATCAATTATCTATAGATCTATCCATCCATCCAATATACAAGTGACTGTATTTTTCACTTGTTCAGTCATTCGCTATCACCTCTGTCCATCCAATTATTATTATTACGAATATTATTACGTCCATCTATTTAACTATTTATAGATCTATCTATCATTGTGTTGTTCTGCATTTACCTTCAATACCATGTTCCATCAGTCACTAACCGACTGTGAATGTCTCTGTTTATGTGTGCAGTCTGGTCTCCAGCCGTTTCTCTCCACACATGGTTCCTCATCCTCCTCACGGCCTCCACCAGACGGGCATCCCTCACCCCGCCATTGTGTCGCCTGCCATCAAACAGGAGCCCAATGGCGAGAGCCCCAGCAACTCCACACACGGGTGAGTCTCTGAGCAGAAAAAAAGTCTTCAAAAGTGATTTAGTTTGAACTATTCGGGCAAAAAACACGGCAATATTTGCAATATTAAATTTTCCCGCAATACATATTGAGACGCAGTTGAAGTTGGAATTAGACAAGTCATTGTATAACAGTGGTTTGTTCTGTAGACAATAAGGGGGCTAATAATATTGACCTTCAAATGATTTGAATAAATGTAAACTGCTTTTAATTTAGCCGAAATAAAACAAATAAGACTTTCTAAATTTACTAAATATCACTTGTGAAATATTTGAAAAAGATAAATATTGTACATGAGGGCTAATCATTTTCCCCAAAACTGTATTTTGAGTATAGTTCCTTATGCTACCATGTGACATGGATACACACATTGCGCTATCGATGCTAAACCGATGTACTTTTCAGCTTTGGCACGTATTAGAGCTGCACAATATATGGTTTCAGCATTGATAATCGCTATGTGCACATCCGCAATAGTCACATTGCACTATCTGCAATGTTGAGTTATGATTATAGTACACCAGGCGAAACAGACACAGGAGAATTGAGTGGTTACTCGAGAGTTGAACTATAATGGAGAGGAAGTTTTTTTTATTTGCGTGTGTTTTTAAGGTCTGACAGCGTTCAAAGTATTCAGGCACAACACATTTTACCATTTGTAACTTTCATTCATTCATTTTCCTTCGCCTTAGTCCTTTTATTTATCAGAGGACGCCACAGCGGATTGAACCGCCAACTATTCCAGCATATGTTTTACGCAATGGATGCCCTTCCAGCTGCAACCTAATACAGGGAAACACACTCACATTCACACACATACACTAAGGACAATTAAGTTTTCCCAATTCCCCTATAGCGCATGTGTGTGGACTGGGGGGGAAACCGGAGCACCCGGAGGAAACCCATGCCAACATGGGGAGAACATGCAAACTCCACACAGAAATGCCAACTGACCTCTTGTAACTTTAATAAGGAACAATTTCATAGGATTATTTACACAGTAAAGACATTTGCAGTGTTATTTTGACACCTGAATATCATTTACTGACCCTAAAACAATTTATTTCACCTTTATCTTTGCTTTTAATTAGTTTTTTGACATTTTTATTAACGATTCACTTCCCTACAGAATCATTCCACTCAATGTAAATTAATAAATTATTTCTAAATAGCAGTTTTCAAGTCATCAGGTGAAATTGTTTATATATATATATATATACACACTCGCAGGCCACTTTATTAGGTACACCTTACTAGTACAGGTTTGGACTCCCTTTTGCCTTCAGAACTGCCTTAATCCTTTGTGTCATAGATTCAACAAGGCACTGGAAATATTCCTCAGAGATTTTGCTCCATATTGACATGATAGCATCACACAGTTGCTGCAGATTTGTCGCCTGCACATCCATGATGTGAATCTCCCATTCCACCACATCCCAAAAATGCTCTATTGAATTGAGCTCTGGTGACTGTGGAGGCCATTTGAGTACAGTGAACTCATTGTCATGTTCAAAAAACCAGTCTGAGATGATTCACTGGTGTGTTATCCTGCTGGTAGTAGCCATCAGAAGATGTGGTCATAAAGAGATGGACATGGTCAGCAACAAAACTCAGGTAGGCTGTGGTGTTGACACGATGCTCAGTTGGTACTAACGGGCCCAAAGTGGGCCAAGAAAATACCCCCCACACCATTAAACCACCACCACAAGCCTGAATCGTTGATACAAGGCAGGATGGATCCATGCTTTCATGGTGTAGATGCCAAATTCTGACCCGACTATCCAAAGAAATTGATTACCTGATTAGAAATTTGCGATAATTAACAGTTGGACAGGTGTACCTAATAAAGTGGCCGGTGAGTGTATACCGCAATATTTATTGCAGGGAAAAAAACATTGCAATGTCAGATTTTTCCAATATCGTGCAGCCTTATTATTAGTGTATTATTTATAATTGTTGATGTATTTTTATTGTTATAAACCTTTTTTGTTATTTATATGATTTATTTGTAAAGTGTATTATTATTGTACACCTGTTTTACCAGGTTTAATTGTTTAAATGGTTTATTCTTATTTATGTATAGTACGTTGAGTTACAGTTGTGTATGAAATGTGCGTTGGAAATAGTTTTGCCATGAAATATCCAGGGAAGCTGAAACCTAAAATCTCCAAACTTCTCTGAAAATCTCCCTCTTTCTCTCTCTCCATGCAGAAAGCCCTCGGTGCCCGTGAAGAAAGAGGAAGAGAAAAAGCCTCACATCAAGAAGCCTCTTAATGCCTTCATGCTCTACATGAAGGAAATGAGGGCCAAAGTAGTGGCTGAGTGTACCCTGAAAGAGAGCGCCGCCATCAACCAGATCCTGGGCAGAAGGGTGAGCGCTTACAGCTCCATTATCAAGGATGCATTAGTGTGTTTCTCTTCATCTGCTCTTAAAGGAACAGTTCGCGCCTTGTGGGTGAAAAAAGGCCATCATTTACTCTCTTTCTCAATCTTGTCATTGCAAACCTGTGTGAGGCACAAAAGGAGAAGGTGTTTTGAAGAGTTTTGCTGTGAAAAGTAACTATGCATTAGTGAATCTGTGTGTGCTGCTGATAATCCAGGGTTTTAGGTTATCAAAGGATAGGTTTACATGAGAATGATGTCGTCAAAAACAACGCTTTTGTTGTTATGCAATTTTCTACATTAGTACAAAAGTTCTGATGCAGTCATATGCATGCATTTATTTAATGTTTTACAACAGATTTTAACCATAGACTGTAAAAGATATGGTCGTAGTATCCGTAATGTCACCCATAGGTTTCTGAAGAACACAAAAGAAGCTACTAGTAGGCGTGGCCAATTGTCACCAATTTGTTTGTGCGTCATTGCACCAAATAAGGGCAAAGAGGCGGAGCTACAGACGCATGCTGGCATTCTGCTTAGACAGGCTTTCCTATCAGAGAAGCTCTTAATACTTCATTACCAGCGACTCGTTTGTGTTCTGACCACTTGTGCTTGGCTGTACACTATATCAATAAAGTGTTTAGACTTTTCAAAACTGCTGTAATACATTGAGCCACTAAACATTGTTCTTATGACGTTTTTCAAAAGGAGGAAAACGCAAATTACTTCCATATACTCCAGATATAGTCTGTGTTAAGCCTGGTTTATACTTCTGCGTCAAGTGACCGGCGTGACCCACGGCGCATGTAACGCGCGTAGCTGTGCATTTATACTTCTGCGCGCCGTCTCTGTCGGTCTGCATTAACACTTCCGAAACGCTAGTGGACAGTGAGGTGTAAATGTTCCTCTGTGTCGAGTTTCTTCACTGCTGTTTTGCTTTTCCTGAACACTTCCGGGATGTACAAGTGGCTCAAACTCGCTTATTTTGAGGCAGGAACTGGCGGACGTGCAACAACTTTAACTATGAGGTAAACACAAAACAAAACTCTCCATCAGGAGCTTCTTCACGGGACTCCACACTCATACTCCACACGCCATAGCATACGCTGGCGTTTAACGAAGAAGTATAAATCAGCCTTTAGTAAATGCAAGACTATTGATGAAATCCAGCATAACACTGTATGACAACGCTTCAGATGACTGATCTAGAGCCTACAGCTAATCAATCTGACAGATTCTGGAGTGCATTACAGGCCTAAAGAATATTATAAATGATAAATGATCTTAAAACAAATACATTAATAGAGATGGTATATAGGCATATAATTTCACTCACCTGGGAAACGGAGGCCACATGAATGGTTTTTGAGCACAATGACGTGCACACAGCATCCCATATCATTTGATAATTGTAAGAAATAAGTCCAAAAGGCGACTGACAGTGTAAAGCCACATAAAACAACCCAAAAATATGATGAGTAGGCCGAGTTCAGCAGCAAATCAGCCGGAATCAGCAAAGGTGATGTGACGACGACCAGCGAGACCTAGCTGTCACTCAAGTAGCCACGCCCTTAATTATGCAAACTTCAAATAACCTAATATAAAGGAAACGGATGAGTTATAACCACCCCCCCCCCCCAACAGTTGTCATGAAGGGTAATATTAGCTAAATTAACCAAAATCGTTCTTTGTACCAGGCTGTAAACACCTTTTTTTTCTGTAGTAAAATTGTCCATTCTAACAGTGGGCTCAATAGAAATGTGCTCCATATGGAGGCAGGACTAGCAGAATTAACAGTTAATTGTGGATGAATAAGATCAATCATGATTACAGTAGTCAACAATTGAAGTGGATCATTACCATTCATTCAAAGTTGCCCTAAAGCTATTGAATAGCACTCATTCCTGTCTTGTAAAAATGATGGAAAACATTTTTGATCCACTTCAAATGTTGACTGCTGTATTTTTGGTCATATTTATTGAACATTTAGATTTACAGTTTAGATTTGAGTTTCTTCTGTTGAACACAAAACAAGATATTCTGAAGAATGGAAAAAGCAGCTACTGGCATCCATAGCGGCAACAAAAAATACTATGGAAGTCGGTGTTTCATTTTTCAGAATATCTTGTTTTGTGTTCAGCAGAGTAAAGAAACTCAAACAGGTTTGGAACAAGTGGAGTAAATGATGGCAGAGTTTTCATTTTTAGATGAACTGTTCCTTTAGGAAATGAACAATATCTGAAATGTTTTCCTGTATTCTGCAGTGGCACTCTCTCTCGCGTGAGGAGCAGGCCAAATACTATGAACTGGCCAGGAAAGAGCGGCAGCTGCACTCTCAGCTTTATCCCGGCTGGTCTGCGAGAGACAACTACGTAAGTGAGCCCAGAATGCAGAGCTGAACTTCGGGCTGTTCCATTGTTTTTGGCAGCCGGGGGGAGTTTTGCTTAATCAAACCCGTCTAATTTGCTCCAAATCATGTTTCTCCGCAGGGAAAGAGGAAGAAACGGAAGAGAGACTGTAAATCTGACTCCCCATCAGAGAGTAAGTGTCACTGACCATCTGTATTTCTTGCTCACTACAACCAGAGTGAAGTGTTTTTTTCCCATCATCCCTGCTGATCCGATCACTCAGGGCATGGATCATGTTCAGTTCAGTTTTGACGTTAGAAAATCGATGCTTTTTATTTTTTTGTAACACAATTTTTTTGTCCTCGTGTTGCTCCACACCCATTTCTTTTGTGAGTTTAGTTCCTGACCAAAGTTGTTGCAATTAGTAGCCTTTTTTAAAAAAGATTTCCTTAAGCCTGGTTTTTATAACCCACTTTCAGGATCTGTTCAGTTGAGTCTCTATTTTATCAACCCTTTTTGGTCAGATTTTTGACTCGTGTCTTCTTTCAAATTTAGCGGATTTGAAAATGTCAATGGTAAAATGATCTCGAGAAAATGATATTGTTTGTTCAATTAAACGTTTCATTTTCAACTATTTTACATGTTTCAATTAACTGTTATTGTATTGTTTATATAATAGTATTATTTATTCATATTTTGAATTTGCATTTATTTTTACACTCCCAGTTTTAAAGTTTTTATAATTATACAAATATTTATATGAATTTAGACATTTAAATAATACATTTATAATTTATTTATTTTATACATTTGTTGTTGTGGACTGATGCACAACTGGGCACTAAAGAACTTATAGCCCCCCCCCCTAAATGAGTGACAGCCCTGACCTAAATGAGTGATAGCCCCTCCCTAAATGGAAAATAGCTCCGCCCTAAATTAGTGATAGCCCATCCCTAAAGGACTAATAGCCCCGCCCAAATAAACTAATAGTCCTGCACCAAAGGTCTGATAGTCCTGCTCTAACCGTCTGATAGTTCCGTCATAAAAGACTGCTAGTCCTGCACTAATGGTCTGATAGTGCTGTCCTAATAGTCTAATAGTTCTGCTCTAATGGTCTGATAGTCCCGCTTTACAGGACTGTTAGTCCCGATATAAAGGACTGATAATTTCACCCTAAAGGTCTGATAGTCCCGCTTTACAGGAATGATAGTCCCGCCCTAAAGACTGATAGTCCCGCCCTAAAGGTCTGATAGTCCCGCCCTAAAGACTGATAGTCCCGCCCTAAAGGTCTGATAGTCCCGCCCTAAAGGTCTGATAGTTCCGCTCTAAAGGTCTGATAGTCTCACCCTAAAGGACTGATAGTCCCGCTCTAAAGGTCTGAGAGTCCCATTCTAAAGGTCTGATAGTCCCGCTTTACAGGAATGATAGTCCTGCCCTAAAGGTTTGATAGTCTCACCCTAAAAGTCTAATAGTCTCGCCCTAAAGGTCTGATAGTTCCGATCTAAAGGTCTGATAGTCTCACCCTAAAGGTCTGATAGGTCCGCTCTAAAGGTCTGATAGTCTCACCCTAAAGGTCTGATAGTTCAGCTCTAAAGGTCTGATAGTCTCACCCTAAAAGTCTAATAGTCCTGCCCTAAAGGTCTGATAGTTCTGCTCTAAAGGTCTGATAATCTCACCCTAAAGGTCTGATAGTTCAGTTCTAAAGATCTGATAGTCTCACCCTAAAGGACTGATAGTCCCGCTCTAAAGGTCTGATAGTCCCATTCTAAAGGTCTGATAGTCCCATTCTAAAGGTCTGATAGTCCCATTCTAAAGGTCTGATAGTCCCGCCCTAAAGTTCTGATAGACCTGCCCTTAAGGTCTGATAGTTCCGCTCTAAAGGTCTGATAATTCCGCTCTAAAGGTCTGATAGTCTTACCCTAAAGGACTGATAGTCCCGCCCTAAAGGTCTGATAAGTCTCACCCTAAAGGTCTGACAGTCCCATTCTAAAGGTCTAATAGTCCTGCCATAAAGATCTGATAGTCCCGCCTTAAAGGTCTGATAGTCTCACCCTAAAGGTCTGACAGTCCCATTCTAAAGGTCTGATAGTCCCGCTTTACAGGAATGATAGTCCTGCCCTAAAGGTTTGATAGTCTCACCCTAAAAGTCTAATAGTCTCGCCCTAAAGGTCTGATAGTTCCGATCTAAAGGTCTGATAGTCTCACCCTAAAGGTCTGATAGGTCCGCTCTAAAGGTCTGATAGTCTCACCCTAAAGGTCTGATAGTTCAGCTCTAAAGGTCTGATAGTCTCACCCTAAAAGTCTAATAGTCCCGCCCTAAAGGTCTGATAGTTCTGCTCTAAAGGTCTGATAATCTCACCCTAAAGGTCTGATAGTTCAGTTCTAAAGGTCTGATAGTCTCACCCTAAAGGACTGATAGTCCCGCTCTAAAGGTCTGATAGTCCCATTCTAAAGGTCTGATAGTCCCATTCTAAAGGTCTGATAGTCCCATTCTAAAGGTCTGATAGTCCCGCCCTAAAGTTCTGATAGACCTGCCCTTAAGGTCTGATAGTTCCGCTCTAAAGGTCTGATAGTCTTACCCTAAAGGACTGATAGTCCCGCCCTAAAGGTCTGATAAGTCTCACCCTAAAGGTCTGACAGTCCCATTCTAAAGGTCTAATAGTCCTGCCATAAAGATCTGATAGTCCCGCCTTAAAGGTCTGATAGTCTCACCCTAAAGGTCTGACAGTCCCATTCTAAAGGTCTGAAAGTCCTGCCCTAAAGGTCTGATAGTTCCGCCCTAAAGGTCTGATAGTTCCGCCCTAAAGGTCTGATAGTCTCACCCTAAAGGTCTGATAGTCCCGCTCTAAAGGTCTGATAGTCTCACCCTAAAGGTCTGATAGTTCCGCCCTAAAGGTCTGATAGCCTTACCCTAAAGGCCTGATAGGCCCATTCTAAAGATCTGATAGTTCCGCTCTAAAGGTCTGATAGTTCCACCCTAAAGGTCTGATAGTTCCACCCTAAAGGTCTGATAATCACATTCTAAAGGTCTGATAGTCCTGACCTAAAGGTCTGATAGTCCTGACCTAATTAAAAGGAAAGTCATTTTGAGGGGTCAGGGAAGATCATGAGAACATAATGAAGTGCACAGATGCATGGTTTAAAACAAGCTCTACTATATACATATAAAAATATCGAGAGGAAGTCTTGATTTGATGCAGATTTAACACTATGTGCAATCATATTTAACTCTTTCCCTCCTCTCTCTCTCATCACAGGTAACTTCTCTCCTCAACCCAAGAAGCAGTGCGTCCCGTATCTGTCATCTGAGAAAATGTGTGACAGCCCTACCTCGTCTCACGGCAGCATGCTGGACTCCCCCGCCACACCCTCCGCCGCCCTGGCGTCCCCCGCGGCTCCAGCGGCCACACACTCAGAGCAGGCGCAGCCCCTGTCCCTCACCACCAAACCCGAAGGCCGAGCTCATCATAACCACCCACACTTCCCTCTGCCAGGCAAATCCTCGGGCTCCGGCTCAGGCTCCAGCATGGCCCTCCACAGCCTCTCGCGCCCCATCCCCTTCACCAGCCTGCCCCCGTCTCTGCTCGGCCCGAACTCGCCGTTCCACCAGGCCGCTCTGCATTCCCATCATGCTTTGCTGCAAACACAACCGCTCTCCCTCGTCACCAAATCTGTGGAGTGAACAGACAAAAAAAAAAATAAAGCGACTTTTTTTACACCTGTATATTGCTTTGTTTTTTTACCTTTTGATAGATCATAGGCCGAGTTTTTAAAGATAGAATGAAAAGTGATAATTATTGGTCAATATTTGACCCCCCTTCTATTTTGCTTTTCTCTTTTGAAACCAACGACAATGTATTTTTTTGTAAATTGACTTTTTTTTCTCTCTCCTCATGTGATTCTCCATTGTTGCTCCCTGTATAAAAGACAAATGTATAAAGGTTTTCTGTTTGTTTAATTGTTTTTTAACCGTACTTGACAAATACAGTTTGTAGTTTTAGTTCAATTCAATCTAACGGTAGTTTAGGAGTTCGGTTAATTTTTTTTTCATTACAGCTTTCTCTCTTTGTTTTTTCTATTATTTTATTTTTCTCCTTCATTCTTTTGGTACCACCTCACCCTGTTCCTAACCCTGTGTGTGTGACTCTCCTAAGGCTCCATAGCTAATAAACCTCAAGTTATTTCTAAAGGCTGCATTGTGTTTTTTTGGGGGGGGGGGAGAAAAGCCCGCATGTGATGACTGGATGGATAATGCCACAGAGATCTTCTGAATAGAGCCAGTATCACACACACGCTGACACTGCTCATTTTTATAATAAGGGCTCGTGAAGTGGTGTGTGTGAACTGCTGGCACTCATGATGTGCGCAAACTGAATTATATAATCCACTGTTGCTTAAACAGACTGGCACTTACAGAGAAATGCAGACGTTATCCTGGTTAAAGTACAATAGGAGGCTTTTCAAATGGATCTCGTGTGCTTTCTTAATCCGGTAAACGCACGTCATATTTGGAGAAGCAGATTTATTAGACTTCTAAATGTACACAAACTCATTTATCATAGGGTTAAACTATTTTAGCATCAGGTATTTTTATGAAAGGGATTTTATATGCATCAACAACATATTAATTGCAGGTATAGCATCAACTTTACATTTATTTTCCACAAAATCAAAGCAAATTTTAAAGACCAGGGTCACCAATCTCGATCCTGCAGGGTTTAGCTCCAACTTGCCTCAACACAACAGCCTGGGTGATTCAAGTACACCTGGTAAGACCTTGATTAGCTTGGTTAAGTGTGTTTGATTAGGGTTGGAGCTGAACTCTGCAGGACACCGGACCTCCAGGAACACATTTGGTGACCCCTGGTATAGACCATTTCAATGTGATCATGTCATTGGCCTATGAACATTTCCTACTTGTTATTAAACAATTTCATAACTGTAATGAGACGCAATTCAATCGTAACGTAATGTTAAAACAGCCTTTATAACATTATCAATTTGTGGCTCTTTTTGGATTCTCGAAAGGTACAGAAATTAAAAATTGTAAAACAGGAAATGCGTCAGGTCCATTGTTATTGTTTACATCTCTCAAAATTGTCTTTATATGTAAAAATGAAACACACCAACACGCCATGCCAGTGGCAATCAGTTTCTGTGTCGATCTAAACCAAATGCAACACAACAGAAACATTGAAATACCAGCCTCGCGCTCCTAATGAAATGAAGACTTTTAATCTAATTAATAGATTTTAAACCTCTTCAACATAATTAATAGGCTTTTGAGGCACTGACGTTGTTGGTTTGCCACAGTTCTGACTTTCATTTTCAAGCCTGCTAGTCACAGCCATATCACCCTGCAGCCCAAGATTGGTTACTCACTGAAGCTAAGCAGGGCTGAGCCTGGTCAGTACCTGGATGGGAGACCACTAGGGAACACTAGGTTGCTGTTGGAAGTGGTGTTAGTGAGGCCAGCAGGGGGCGCTCAACCTGTGGTCTGCATCAGTCCTAATGCCCCAGTAAAAGTGAAGGGGACACTACACTGTCAGTGGGTGCCGTCTTTCGGATGAGACGTTACACCGAGGTCCTGACTCTCTGTGGTCATTAAAAATCCCATGGCACTTCTTGTGCACTCTCGGTGTAACCTGGTGTCCTGGCCAAACTCCCTCTATCAGCCCTTACGATCATGGCCTCCCAATCATCCCCTTCCACCGAATTGGCTGTATCACTGTCTCTCCACTCCACCAATAGCTGGTGTGTGGTGAGCTCACTGGCGCCGTTGTACTGTGGCAGCCGTTGCATCATCCAAGTGGATGCTGCACACTGGTGGTGGTGTGGAGAGACCCTCCTCATGATTGTGAAGCGCTTTGGGTGTATGGTCATACATAATAAATGCGCTATATAAATACACATTACATTACATTACATTACATTTTATTGTAAAGATCTGAGCTGAACTATCTGCAGCTGCTTTCAGTCGTATGACAATAAATGTCAAGCAAGATGGTATTTAAACTCGCATTGGGAGCATTAAACACTGAATAACGCACATAATCAGTACCTGCGGTGATCGTTGACAGTAGTTTATGCTATTATTTTGCTGCGACAGTGCTGAAACAGAAACACTTTCTAAACCAGAAATTTTGCACGTCGCACAGCTTTTATCACATTGTGTTATGCTGAAAGTGACACAGTGGTTAGCACTGTCGCCTCACAGCAAGAAGGTCGCCGGTTTGAGTCCCGGCTGAGTCAGTTGGCATTTCTGTGTGGAGTTTGCATGTTCTCCCCGTGTTGGTGTGGGTTTCCTCCGGATGCTCCGGTTTCCCCCACAGTCCAATAGAGCACCTTTGGGATGTGGAGGAACGGGAGATTCACATCATGGATGTGCAAATCTGCAGCAAATATGTGATGCTATCATGTCAATATGGAGGAATATTTCCAGTGCCTTGTTGACTCTATACCACAAAGGAGGCAAAAGGGGGCCCAACCCGGTACTAATAATGTGTACCTAATAAAGTGGCCGGTGAGTGTACTGTATGTCTGCGCTATTCTGAAAAGTGTTTCATTATATTACAAAAATGTATATATTTTTCCCAGGTATTTTGTGTTGCTAGAATAGTAAGCGACTGTATAAAATACTTGTTAATTACATTTCTATGTATTCCAAAGCGTGGGACAGTATTATGATGGTTATATGAGCGTTCTCTCATAAATCTCTGAATAATAGTTTACGAATGTGGCTTACAAACATTCCCTTTGACATGTTTATTTGGCAAAAGGTGTTGTGAAAAGACGTTATTTGATTGTGCTGCGGTTTACTTTATTAACAGCCGTGTGAGGTAAAACAGTCGTGCCATGAAGTAAGCTGGTGTGCTGAATGATCAGGACACGGGGAACACATTGTTTTCAGCTGGTTGTAAATAAGCGAGATTGCAAGCTCGGTCACACAATTGTAAAAGCCGCGTCCAGAATATTTCCACACGTTTACGGCGCAGTTATACGTGTTTTGACACACCGCCACTGGTTTTAACGAAGAGGCTTGGAAAGTCGGTCCTCTGAGATCTCATTAGCTATTTCAATTAGCAGACGTGGACGGTGGGTTACGGGGATTTGTGGCCCCGGGGATGCCGATACTGCCAGGATTGAGCAATTAGGTCTTATGGAGGAGACGGAGTGACCAGAAGACAACTTCACATTACTGTGTTGGCCTATATACAGATTGTGACATTGCATTTTCTGCTGTCACACAATAATAATTCATATTATTATTAATTAAATAATAATTTTTAATTCTGTTTATTTCGTGCCAACACATTTCTAAACATAGTTTTAATAACTCATTTCTAATAACTGATCTATTTTTTCTGCCATGATGACAGCACATAATATTTGATTCGATTTTTTTAAGACACTAGTATTCAGCTTAAAGTGACATTTAAAGGCTTAACAAGGTTAATTAGGGTAAAGTTAGGGTAATTAGGCAAGTCATCAGGGGTGGACTGGGACAAAAATTCAGCCCTGGCACTGTAGCCACACCAGCCCACATTACCACACCAACACAGCACCACCTATGGATATGCACACTCACTACTCATATTGGTGTACAGTTGGTAAAATAATTGAGCCAGTATTTAAACATCTAATGCAATGCTTTTTAAATTTTTTTTTAACCAAGTACAACCTTAGAAATAAAGAAAATAGTCTCTCCAAGTACCACCATAATGACCAGTATTGAAATACAGTAGCCTACAAGGCCTAATTAGGCAGCTAAAGCTCTGCACAGTTCAAAAATGAGGCAGATTAATTTCTATTATTATGAATATTTATTATTGCCAGCGACTTTAAGCATAATAAATAGCTTGAACATTAACAGCTCTGTGCTGACAGGTACAAAAATAAATAATGTTTAAAATAAAATGTGCTTCTAAAAGTAAATTAGAAATGTTCTTTAAAAGTCAAAAGAAAACTGCTGTACTTAAATGTACAGTATTAACGTATAGTAGCTTATTCATAAAAACCTGGAAATGTTCCTTGGACCTCATGAATATAGGTTATTTGTGATCATATATTAATATATAAAATGGTTTTGAAAATTTTTGAAATAGATGTAGATTTAGGACTTATTTGTGTATATATATATATATATATATATATATATATATATATATATATATATATATAATCTAAACATCTAAACTTTAATATATGATTTTGATTTACCTATTTAATTTAGAAATTTGATCTGCTTACAGTGTGTTATAGGCTTTGTGTGTCAGAAAAGCAAGTCATTAAACAACACCTGTGAACATTAACAGACATTAGAAAATTTAAATAAAATAAAAGGTTTATCCTATTAAAATCAATTTACTGATCACATTGGTGTTAGCATACACTTTAAAGGCTTAAAAACTGTTTTTTTTACTTTAATTATCTAGCGATTCCTCCGCGTACCACTAGAAGGAAGCCTGCGTACGTACATGTACCCCAGTTTGAGAACCACTGATCTAATGTATGTGACTGGAACAAAAACAACCCATTTATAACACATTTATACATACAGTATAAACTAAATAAAAAATAATTTTGTGAATCTTGAAGAGTCGGTGTGCTGTCCCTTTATACCTTCTAATGTCCTCTATAGAAAGTCTGAAATGACTATAGAAATGAACCACTTGTTCAATAAAATGCCAAATTCTAGGGACATTCCAAGCAAAACAAACAAACAAACAAACATTGCTCATGACCTGTCACTCAAAAGCATCTCGCTGTGGCTACTTAATTTATAATATAGCCAAATTTGATTTCTTAAAAACCTTTTCTTGCTGTATAAGTTGTTTATTTTGCCATTCTTTTAACATCCAGGCTCCACTGTCAATTATACAGGTTTATATTTTAAATACACCATTTTAAGTAATGTTCATCTTCTGTGATTGTGACCATCTTTTTGTAAGAACAGTGATATTTCAGTTGCAATATCAAAACAGCCGGCCGTCGCCGATTGGGCCAAATGCTTAACATTTGTTATTATTATTATTACTACTAATATTATTATTATCATCGTCATCATATTCACATCTTGCTAGAGATAAAAGCTGTCTGCATGTAAATACAACACATAATTTTTTTTTTTAATTGACCGGCCCACATTTAAAAAATGGTCCAGCCCTTCTGGCATTGCCAGAATTGCCA